TTAGCTAAACTAGGAGCAGAGTCTAGGAGCAAATCACTACAATCAACGTAATTTACGTTAATTGTAGTGATTTGCTCTCCGAGTCAGAGCTGGGCAAGTCAAGTAAAAAATGTCTTAAGTTCCGGTCTGACTTGACTTGATTTGAGAGATTTTTTTCTGTGACAGCGACTGAACTTGAAAAAATGCCAGTTTTTTTAGTGACTTGACTTGCGAGTTGCAAAACCTCTGACTTGTCCAGTTCTGAGCTAGCTCCCATCACTCAAAGTTTATCATGCCAAAAATAGGAAAAAGTATTTCAAATTTTGAGGAAGTAGTCCAAATATGCAGAAATGTGTGCTCTTCTAGAATGTATCCGAAAACGTTGCAGGTTTATGTTAAAAGGCAGAAAAGTTCGGAATACGACCAAAATTTTGAAAGAACTATGTTTTTAGCCTACCATTTTTATCACTGTAACTGGACAAAAAGGTGAAACCATGTGAAATTTATGTCAAATATTCAAGTTTTTTATGCTCTATCGAGTGATCATCGTTTGAAGAGAAATTAAAAAGTGTGTTTTCGGCTTATTACGTATTAAGCCAGCCGGCAAAAGTTTTAGAGATGATAAATTTGAGAATCGATTAAAACATGATCATTTCTATCCCGATTTTATTATTTCTTTCCCGATAAAGCATAGCTATAATTGCACTGATCCAGAGCATAGGATGATGAGAAATCACAATTAACATCTCGTGAAGTATTAAGCAAAAGTTTGGATTTGAACACATACGAGTCCTTTTTTTCTATTACTGGATCCTGGATCGTGTAATTCTGCAGCCTTTATTCTCGAATGTTTTTGTTAAGTTGCGCGTTTCATTCAGGCTTGTCAACAAGCACGATGATCATATTTGGTGAATCAACTGCTGGATTTATGAAAATGGATTGTTACAGACATTTGAAATATGATGATAAGCAGATTTTGCATCCTCATGATGTTACGGTTATAGAACATGCTGCTGAGCTACAAGCCGGAGAAAATGTGACAGGTACTAGACGAACCATGGACTTCCACTATGTTATTCTCCCTGGATTCTTTCCTCTTAAGTATTGTAAAAGAGTTTTGTATGTTAGCTATTTCTGAACAGTTTATTCACTGAATACATATCTTTCTGAACATATGCTCTAGACAAACATTTTTCGTTATTTCTGGTAAGAATCTTATCCGAGTCTTATCGGATTCTTACATAAGAAGTCTGCACGAAAATGGCTAAAATTTCGTACGAATCCAGTAAGAATCAAGTAAGATTTAAATAAGAATGAGCTATGACTTTGATAAGACGCTTCTATCACTTTCTTATGAAATTCTTACTAAAAGCCAAATTTCCAATTTAAAAACGATTGTTCTTTCACTATGCTATCAGCCTGACTGGGTCAACATTGAAGATATGATAAATCACTTAGAGAGTAGCTTGTTGGGCATACGTACAAAATGTCAGTATAAGCACACAGACATAGTAATTATGGGGGACTTCAATGGTCGCTGCCAGCAATGGTGTAATACTAAACCATCAACGCCAGAGGGGAAGTATCTCTACGAATTCACTGCTGATATTCAGCTATATCAGCTAGTTGATAAATCAACTAGACCGAAATCCCTGACATGTCTAGATCTTGTTTTTGTTGATCATGTTCACAATATAGATAAAATAGAAGTTTTGCCACCTCCCTCTATGAAATGTGATCATAATATTGTTCAGGATATTTTTAGGTCGGAACTTTCTACTGTTAACTGGTTTTCTCTTATTGGTGGCATGTGTCTGGATGACAGTGTGCTGATTGTTGAGAAAATGATTATGCAAGTGGCTAATACAGTCATCCCACATAAAAACATAACTGCCAAATCAAACGAAACACCGTGGTTTAATGATAAATTAAGGAAACTAAGTGGGGAGAAACGTTATCTCTTCAAAGTTGACTGCCGTCATAGAACACCGACGACAACCAAAAACCACAAAGACATTTCTAAACAGTTTGAAAATGAATGTAAAAAAGCAAAAAAAGATTATTTTAGGCGAGTGTCAAATGAAATGAACGCATCTAGTAAACCATGGTGGCGTATGGATAAAAACACGTTAAATAAACAAAACAGTACTTTTCCACCTCTTTTAGATAAAATAAATGATGAATTAGTACCTGAGCCGCCTGGAAAGGCAGAATTACTAAAAAAACATTTGGCTAACATTTGTACAATGCCAACAAGTGAACTGAATGATGACCCTATCCTTATTCCAAAATCTTCACTACACGCTACGTCAACATTTGACATTTATGAGTCCAACGTCTTTGAATTATTAAAGAAAATTGATTGTAGTAAGGCAACTGCGCCTAGCCTCTCCGATAGAATATTGAAAGAAGCTGGTGCTATAGTAACACCAATTATTACCTATTTGTTTAATGAGTCGCTAATAAGTGAACAGTTTCCGAAGTCTTGGAAACTTGGATGTGTTACTGCGATATTTAAATCAGGTGACTGTCATAGTCAGAAGCATGATTCTACTATTAATCAACTAGTATCCATAATACATCAGATGCTGATAGCCTTTGATCAAAACGAGCCTGTGTTGACTGCGTTCCTTGATTGATAATAAGACTATATTATGCGAAAATAATCATTTTTTAACTCAAAAAATCAGATATCCGCCTGCTCTACGGGAAAATGCTCACTCTAAATGTTGACCTGAACTAGTCAGAAAATATTAGAGAATTCGCATACCTATCCATACACATCATCATTGACTAACTGAATTGATTTTTCAGAAAATCAAACTGTCAACGAACGCGTGTTCTTCAAGCGTGAAACTTGTTCGCTCGCTTGAAGCGTATTTACCTCAGCTTTATAAAGCACACCATTGGAACACACCTAGGAAAACTCGCTAGAAAAATTTTTAGTTTTTTTCTCCAACTTAGATAGCCCAAAAATAGAAAATTTTTTTACCAATCGATAGTGCACTTCATACCGATTCTAAGTGCATGCTTGTTTGTCCAATAGCTATGTTTGATTTTTCCGTATAACCCGATTTTCCGATGAACACGTTTTTTCCCAGCTTAAATAAAATCTAGGACAAAAAGTTTTTGCCATAAATAGAGCATGTTTCAAAGTATATTAATCACCCTTAAAATCACTGAGATACAACGCGCAGGTAACGCGATGACAAATTTTTAGCGCCAATGTTTAATTTTCACGCTTGTGGGCAGAAGTAAAAGCAAATGTTGCATTAGTTATTATATCTCGATGGCTTCTATAAATAATGTAAAAAGTTTCGAGTTGCTACTTATCATTAACAGTTACAGCGTTTATACGGTCGGCAACATGATGACCAAAAATGGAAGTACTTTCCAGTGGCAGTTGAAGGGTTCTCATTTTTTCTAAATGTAGCTGATATTGATGAGAGTGTCGTCCAATGGATGGTTTTTAGCTATAACGTAGGGCTTTTGAAATATCAGATCGAAATTTTAATCAAGCGTCTGGTTATTTATCTACGTATCAAAATTATGGTAACGCGGTGACATCCTTTCATTGTATTGCATCCAATAAGCTTTTTTCAAGTATACAAGGCAAAGAAAACGTATCTAAAGGATAAATTTAGCTGATTTATACTTGTACTATGGTGTGTGGAACAAACTTGAGTCAGTGTGTTATCTATACAAATTTACAGATGACTGCAAATAATAATCTACATGAGGAAATAGTAGTAGTAATAAAGTATGCGTTGGATGACTAAACTAGCTATTATAAGACGGAATGTTTTCCTACTGTATGAAACTGAGCTATACATCTCAACGACAACAAAATAGATCATTTCTAAGTAATAGTCTCTTCTTTATGAAGTGGTATGAGTACTTTGCCGAATAACATTACCAAACTCTGATCATCCAAACCGGACAAAACCGACAACTACTTTCTCACCACAAAATCCTGCAATAAGAAATGGAAGGGAAGGCCTAATGTTTTACCATTTGTAGTTCTTTATACAAACTGGCTCATTGAGAACAGATAAATGGCGGCTACTCTCAGATCGGCTTCTTTATCATTATAATAATGTCAGCGAAAGGGCACAAGTAACAGAAGAAATAATTATTGCAAGCAATGTGTTTTGTTCCAAATAAAACCATGGTTCTAAGCCATGTAAAAATATATAACTTACTGAAGATCTTCTTCGTCTCTTCAAAGCAAAGATCTGAATGTATCGAAAACTTGCGAAACAGTTACCTCAGTTGCTCGATTAAATTATGCAAATTAGAGGTGTCAAAAACTTTAACTTCTCAATTTTTTTTACCAAAGCTTTTAAATTATATACCATTCAATACAGTATTCAAAACTGAAGAAATTAGAATAGTTCGATATCTCTGCTTTCGATATCTATCCTGCCAGATCTCGTGAGAAAAAACTTGCGGATTGAATAAGTTAAAAAGTCTTGCGATGTTTCTTAACTTTACGCAGGATTTTTTCCACGTTAATCCTACATAAACTATGCAGGATTCTGCCATGGCCGGCGGAATAAAAATCCCGCGTAAAGGTAAGAAACATCGCCAAATATTTTAATACCAACGACTCGCGGGGATCCTGCGCAAAGTCTTGCGAGATCCTGCATGAATTTTGATTATTTTTTTCAGGGGGTACCCACTGATGAAAAAATATCCTGAAAATCAGAGGTTTGTCTTGGAAAAATCCATGCATTTGAATGAACGTGCACGAAATATCTCATGTAAAATAGCGTATTGGTCCCAATTGTCCCAAATCGGAAAAATCGAGCCGCTTTGGAGATGATGATCTCGGTTTGACGGATAGATTTTCCGAAGATTTTTTCATTAGCGGGTAGACAAATATTGATTGTGTCGTAATAATCAATAGAACGTTTATCAGGCCGGCTTAGAAACATGCTCAATACTCACAAATCCCTATCTCATCAATGAGAATTTTCAAGTGAACTTTAGTCTCAGCGAATCTTTTATACGAATTGCTGTTGTAATTTGGCCTTAGACTTTATTTTAGAAATTTTACTTTTCTGATCATCTACAATTAAAAGTCGAGAACGCCTACGTTTCCGCAATTAAATTTATCAGTTTTCATGTGCAATACGCATAATATTGATTGATAGCATGAATCATTTCTATGTAATGATTTTTGTAACAAATAGCATATAAAATTTGGTTTTAAAAAACACTATTTATCATAAATGTTAACATCAATTTTAATATTTGATGTTGAAAATTCGTTTTTCTATTACCAACTATATTATTCGCAATGAATAAATGCAATAAAACTTCTTCACCATCAGTTCCATGTGAAACGAATAGTGGTCTACCCACAAAAATATCAATTAATTTTGTTACGAATAGCAGCAAAAAACGTTCATTTCATAAACGTGAACTGTTTGATGCTATTGACGAATTAAAACGCATTCTTGGAGTAATGAATCAAACATCGATGACGACTACATCTGTTCCATCTCAGTCACTTGAACTAGAATACGGTTTTATTGGTCGTCTTCAAAAGATTGTTAATATCAGTAGTCAACTGACGACGACCACAGATGTTATGCCGAATGTTGATGATCGATTCGATCGACTTTCAGGGTACTACTGTTTGAGAATCTATTTCAACGAGCTTAAATTTAGTTCTTCGTTTTGTCCACTCAAATGGCAATCATGTTACCTTCTTTATAGTTTGTTACACCAAAAGACTACAACAGCAACGATTTCTGTGATTAATGACTTACATGTCATCGATGAAATTGAATATATTCTTCGATCACTTTCTACTAATAGCACGACTATTACTACCAGTCCTACGCGTGTCTTCAACTCGTCATCACCAACAACAATAGGATTTCATGTGTCTCGATTTGATGATATGCTACGTCTAACTGTTGAACCTTCTTATGAACAACAGCCATTTTTAAAAGGCTCAATCGATAGAGAATTTCGATCTGAAAAACAATCACAATATCCACCATCATTACGATCATTACCCGTTACTCTTGGTCGACAATTAGATATTTCCTGTTTGTCAGGTATACGCAGAAAGGCATTATTACTACAAATAACAATCACTATCGGTATGTACAAATCACGCCTCAGGGCATTGAGCATTGAAAATTTTTGAAATCATCGAACACTGCGTTTCTAATTCTAGGTACTCAAGATCTTCAAAATATCAATAGTCATAATCAACTCATTGACAATAGTAAACATTTATATCAACGTATAGTTATTGCTCATTTAAAAATTCACCAAGGTCATAATCAACAAACTATCGCATGTCGATCGATCGACATTAATAATAATAATGATGATAATAGCGATAATGATGAGATAATGATGGTTCAACCATTTTATTTTAATGTTAAACAACCCATTCGATGTAAATCAGCGTTATGGTTCATGTTTATCAATATTGAGAAGAAAATATCTTGTCCAATTGAACAAAGCAATGATTCAACAATCAAATACAAATGGAAAGCACCAGATGGATCTAGAGCACTAATTGGAAAACGGGTAACAACGTATAAGAAATAGTGATGAGACTGTATTCTTACTTCTTTCTCATGTTAAATGTTGTTCACAATTGTGATCTAAAACTACCATGCTAGTTTTCAAGATGGGATAAATAATATTTTGGTTAGTTGTGCAATGGCAAACTGTATCGATTATTGTTCTTCATTTTGTCCAAAACTATTTTGTTGAAAAAATATGAAATTTTAAGGTTGAAAAGTTCAAAAATTCATTTTTCAATCATTTTCTACTTCTAATCGAAGTTATACTATTTATTTATTCATCACAAATTATTTTTTTAAATTAATTTAATATAAACAAATAATTTGTACTGAATAAATAAATAAATAGTATGAGTTTATACAAAGTCCTGCCATTAAATATCCATAGCTAATTGAAGTTAATATCATATTTGTGTTCGTTTAATAAAACTGCAGCGATTTAATTATTTTAGAAATGTTCGCTATCATACATCCCATATCTGTGATCTTTACAATACCACTATTAAAAAGAAGTTGTAAGATTGATAATTTATCAATATTTTACTTGCAACAATAAATCAATCATTTTTTTTTCAATTATTTGAAAAAAAGTTCAAGATTGTCATACATGACAGATCGATATTTGTTGAACTATAGTGTTACTATTCGAGTTAATTGTTTAACACATGGTAGACATGTATTATCAATCTTTTTCGAAATCAATTTGAACTTTTAAACGCCACACTATTGTACGATTTTATTGACATTTTTGTAAAGAGCTAGGATTCATTTGCTTGTGCTCGATGAAAAATTGTTTTGAATGTGTGTCAAAAAATGATGGAAGGTTGATACTAAAATCAGATTTTTTAAGGATCACTGCTCCATCCCTCAATTCTTGATCATTAATCATAACATCACCTTCTTCACTACATTGGATCAAGTCTTTATAATACATTACAACATATTTATTGCACCATTTCCTTTGGAATAAAACTTTCCCCTGGTATCTTCATCTGAATACTGAAAATAAAAAAGTGATCGTGCTTGTCGAAAAATTAAATTTATTCTCATTTCAATTAAAAACATCCACTAAAAATGGTAACTATTTGAAATGGTTTACGTGAGAATTAATAAGAAGCATTAAATTTAGTAACTACTGTTCTGTCTACTCCCTTCAAGATTTCGAAATGTTCATGGGTTATTCAAGATCACATTCATTGAGAAATATATTTTGAGTTTTTTCCTAAAAATCCTCAAAGACTAGTTAATCAATGTTGACTTTAACTGATACTTTTTTCATTCTGAATGGACCTTCTATTTTTTTAACGAAGTGATTTTCAGCAAAACGAAAACAATGATCGATAAAATTTATTATTCTTTGCTTAGATTGATTCTCAATTTCTCAATTATCGTATACCATCTGACAGAGATTTCGGTGATTTAATTTGTGAGACTCAGTCTGTCACAGGTGATAAACAAGAATGTATCGTACGGCTACTTTCAACAGAACAGTATCTCAAAAATCTGATTGTAATGAGTCCCTATGGAGGAGTACCATTGGTGATATTTCTTATCCTCTTCTACTGTTGTACCGTCGGATATTTACAAAAACGAAAACAAAAAATGACATCGCAAACAACAAATGCTCCAGTTCAATCATCCCTAGAACCATCAAAGCTTCGCGACAAGAAATTGCTACCTCGTTAACGATTCTTAAGACCACTGGGTCAACATCATTTTCAACAGCGAATAGTAAATCAAATACAAGATGATGATGAAGAATTCATAGCCGTCGATGAAATTATAACGGTGGTACCAGCCACACATGATGCAACACAACAGACACACAATGCGTTACGAAAAACATCAGATGGTGGGAAAGGGTAGATTACTGTTTTCTTTTTCTCCTTCATATTTAGTGCATACTTTTTTCATATGTAGACATGGTCAATTGTTTGCTAACACGCAAGAAAGAAGTCAAAAGTATCTTCATCAACAACCAACATTAATGTTATCGTCAGCCTATAATAACTCTTGGCCCGATGTAAACCAAGATGAGATTGTTGTTGAAGAAATAAATCCATATCGTTTTTATTCAACTGAACAAGATTATCTGTTACAATCACTACAGTCTAATGAACCGTTAACTAAAAAAACAACAGCGGCAATGAACAAGAAAAAACATTTTTATGTAAAACGATCGCTACTCAAAAATCTCTTCCCAACCACAGCATTTTCCAGACAAGCATTTAATCGAAATGCTTCAACTGGAACTGGGAAAAAGCATCATCGTCATCATTCGAGTAGAAAAATAAATAAAAATATTCACTAATATCACAACAACAACAACAGCAACAGATTTTACCATCAGAAGTAAGCTGCAAAAAAACAATCATCACATATTTATCTGCATGTGATCCGTATTGATATGACATCCTGTATTATTGTATCGATTTTCTCGATCTAGAATAACTCCAATATCCATAATACAACAGATTGTTTTTATTCACCACATTCTTCGTCTTCACACACAGTAAAACATTTTAAACAACAAAAATCTTCGTCATGCCCCTCAAAAAATATACTGTGTAACAAGGAAATCATTTTATCCTACACATCACTCGTTCACTATCATCATCAAAAGATTTCGCCATCCATCTCTAAAGAAAAACAAAGCGTTTTTGAATCATTCTACGACGAAAAGAAGCCATTTAGTTCGAGAGAAATTGTTTTATGTTGTTGTTACAATAATAACGTCGATGAAAAGTTTACAAACAACAATTGTCTTATCTACGATTTTCAACGTTGGTTTTTCTCTGTTTTAGTAAACATACTGGGGGCAAAAAAGTTCATGTTCAACAAATAGTTCAATATTTCAATCGATTAACATCGCTAACATACAATACTAAAAGAGTCAAAAGTTCGATCTCTGAGCCATGTTGTCATAAAAATGATCTCATAGAAGAATTATCACACACCTGTGATAAAATTGATTCACAAGATGAAAAGTATGGTATGAATAGAATGAATATTCAACATATACGACGACATTATATGAACAATAATCATTACTCAAATCAAATCAAATTTTCAAAAGTAGCTAAACATTGTCCAAATATTTTGTTTTAGATAGAATTCTTCAATAAGCTTATTCCTTAATAACTTAAAATGTATATAATTTCAGCATTTATATGTCAAATGTGTATTATTTGTAACAGTACATTTAGAAAATGCTTGCTGAACTTTAACTGAATCTAGAACAAGACATAAATATCTAAAGAGACCGATGTTTGGTTCTAAATATAAAAACAAAACAAATATTGAGCTGGTAAGCTTTTTGTTTGTTTTCTAAAAAAAAGTTATTTCACTGTCAAAAAATTAACAAAACACATCAAGAAAAAACAGGGATGATTTGAACCGAAGTATTCGAGTGGAACGTATGGATGCCCGCCCATATCTCTTCAAAATATTAAATCGTCTATGAAGCGTTTTCGCAAGAATAAGATCAATAAGAACTGTGTGAACAAGGTGATCATTGGAGTTTGATTTGTTGTCGTGATCAATTTAATGACGTAGCACTTTTTTTGTAATTTCTCTTTTTTTATTACAAAACTAATTTTTTGTATCAAAATACACATTTATCGACGAGAAAAAGAATTGCCACAAAAACAATAATAATCACACAAACCAAAACGAAACAGTTTTCTTGTTTAATGCAAAAAACAGTATCCCCACTTATAGTTCATCTAATTTTTGTTTCATCACTTCAATTTTTTCTAGAAAATACTGTATGAATTCCTGGTATTGTTTTAACAATTTATCATCAAATTTTGATTCATCTTGTTTTTGTTCACCATATATAAAATCATTGACCATTTTTGTTTTTGTTTGCAAATGTTTTAATTGTACATGATAGTTTTTCAATTGCTGCTTCATTAATAGTTCTTGATCACTTAACACTGGTGTTATATTTTCAATTACGGACAATATGTCGTTCAAATTCTTCTCTATATTTTGTCGACGTTGTTGCTCGCGTGAATACTCTTCAAGTAAATAATCACTCTGATGTTTGACACGTTTGAATGTTGTTTCTAATTCTCGTAAATTTTTTTCAAAATCATCGTCAGATATGACTAATTGAGCGTTTTGTGAATTTGTTAAACGTAAGCGAGGTACGGTTTCATCACGAGTTTGTAGTAAAGAACCAATATGTTGAAAAAAATCATCGTTTTTTATAACAGATCGTTTTGGTTCTACTACTAGACATAATGGTCGATCGATATCTGATGAGGTTGACGATGGTGACAAATAGGCAGAATTTGGACGTAGAAGAGTTATATGCTAAGAATACAAATAAGAACATTGATTAGAAAAATGATTTGCATATTATACGAGAGGGTAGAAAATAGGCTGCAAGTTATGTTTTGATGAAAGAAAAAAATTATAGTATATATATTCTCTTGAAATCTCGGGAACGACAGCTGGTCCAAGTCTAACATTTATAGTAAATACACAATTACTCAAATGTTGATCATCAAAAATGTATTCCAGATATTTAGATGCTTCGCTGTGAAAGAGTTTTTTAAGTTTATAATGAAAAACTAGTGTTGTTTTTTCTGAAATACTAGCGCAAAGGATGCCAGCCTAACACGGTTATATAGTTGGTTTAAAGTATATTCATTATAAGTTAAACTTCTTGACACTCCCTGCTAAATCGGCTCGCCATTGTATAGCAAGAAGTGCAAGTCCACGATGTCGTACGTTACCAATAACAATTATATAGTTACGCACTGGCCTTGGCACTTTATCTCTGATAAAAACGGTATCAATTGCGAACGTTTTTTGTTGAAACAGCACGAAATTTTTGAAAGTTGTCGTATCCCGAAATATTATTGTTCGCAGTTACTAACTGTTACTACAAAACAATTCTATAACTCAACGAAAAAGCATACTTTAAAACAAAATCTTCCAGTTACGTCGATTGACGCCCATATTGTACAAAACTTTTCAATATAGTAGAGTTGTTCGGGATTCACGATCTCTTTTGCGAATGGGAAAAGCTAAATTTTGGCAGAACCCACTGAAAAAAATAATCAAAATCCATGCAGGATCCCGCGGGTTATCGGTATTAAAATATCTGACGATGTTTTTTACCTTTACGCAGGATTTTTATACTGCCAGCCCTGATAGAACCCTGCATAGTTTATGTAGGGTCAGCCTGGAAAAAATCCTGCGTAAAGGTAAGAAACATCGCAAGACTTTTTGACTTATTCAACCCACAAGTGTTTTCCTACGAGATCTGGCAGAATTTTGTTCGTTGAAAAAAAAAGGATTTTGTTCTCCATGTCTATCCTGCGGTATCCAGAAATCTTTTCTCACCAATATCTGTCAGGATGACCGTGGAGGAAGTTGTCTGTATTTTATTTTTTTTGGAAAGTTAAGTACTTTTTCTTCTAAAGTTATAAAAACTTTTCTCGCGTTCAATAAACTTCTAGAAAACGTATACCTTAATATTTTGACTTTAACACGCATTTTCATGTGTACAAAACCAAACTATTAATAGATAGCTAGAAAGATCTTTTTTATGTCAGGAATATTCTATTTTTTTCCATCAATAAGACATTAAAGTCATTAGAATGATCACGCTACTGTGAAAAAAAAATGTATAGCAAAGCAGAGATATCACAGTATTCTAAATTTATTCAGTTTTGAATGGTACCTTCTCGTTTCGTCCCGTTTATTTTCTAGCATTCTATTCATTTTTTTCTATCAACAGTGTACTAACTAATATTAATATAAGTCATTAAGATAACGTAAGAAACTGATACATGGCTGATATATTCATACGTTGATACGTATCAATATGGACTAGTTCGTTTTTCTAAACCTGGATCAATAGCTATTTAATTTTA